CAACTAAGACATTTGTGTCCCTAAGGTTGTGGACATCGTTCATATTGTAAAGTAAGAGGATATTTATTGTCACAGTACAATTTAATGTATAATGAAATGCATAGGGCATAAGAGTATAACACATGTTCATTTATTTCACATTTTAGGGACACATCATCAAAAATACAAGACACCATTGCAATAAGTATCCGTAACGATCAAGGACCTCCTGCAAGGTATCAGCTGGTAACAAAGAAACATAATCTAGATGATGAAGGCATGCTCAGAAGATGTACCTTTGGAGAGAGAGATTACAGTAAGCTCAACAAAACCATTCTGATAGTGGGAGAGACAGGAACAGGGAAGTCAACTCTGATCAATGCCATGGTCAATTATGTCCTGGGTGTAGAGTGGGAGGATAAAGTCTGGTTTGAGATCGTTGAAGAGGAAAAAGGAAGTCAGAATGAAAGTCAAACTACAGCTGTCAATATATATGAGATCTTCGGGTGTGAGGGCCTGAGAGTCCCCTACTCTCTCACCATCATTGATACTCCTGGGTATGGAGACACCAGAGGGATCCAAGAAGACAAACTGATCTCTGAAAAACTGTTTGAATTGTTTAGGACTACAGATGGGATTCATCAACTTGATGCTGTGGGTTTAGTGGTGAAGGCATCTGAGAATCGACTCAGTGACAGACAGCAGTACATATTCGAATCAGCTTTGTCTTTATTTGGCAAAGACATGGAAAAGAGCATTGTGGCCCTTATCACACACTCAGATGGGTTGCCCCCTAAGAATATGCTTGAAGCTATTACAGCAGCAAAAGTTCCCTGTGCCAAAAATGACAAGGATCAACCTGTTCATTTTCTTTTCAATAACCGCCAGTGTGAACTCATTGATGAGGAATATGTGTCCAAACTGAAGTCAGCCTGGGAAGAGGGATCGACTTCCATGCAAAAGTTTTTTACGTTTTTGAATAACATGGAAACAAAGAGTGTGAAGATGACTGAATGTGTTCTGAAAGAACGCAAACAGCTGGAAGCCAGTATCAGAAACTTACAGGAGCGGATAATAGAGATTGAAAGGAAGCAAAATGAAATCAAGCAGACTCAAACAGCCCTGGAGAAAAACAAGACAAATATAGTGGGGGGGAATGACTTTTCATATGAAGTTGAAGAAACCTACAAAGAAAAGGTTCCTACAGAGGAACAGTGGGACAACAAGGCTACTACCTGCACAGAGTGTAAGGAGAACTGTCACTATCCAGGCTGCTGGTGGGTCCAAGATCTCTCATGGTGTAGTGTGATGAAGAACGACTACTGCACCGTGTGCACTCGGAAATGTCACTTCTCCAAGCATGTCAAAGAAAACAAAATATATGTCACCAAGACAAGGAAAGTTACAAGGACATTTATGGAATTTAAATGCAAGTGTGAAAGAGAGGCTGGGAATAAAATGGATGTGATCACCAAACTTCAGAAAGAGTTGACAGATTTTGAGGCAGAGAAACACAGGTTGGTGGAAGAATCCTACCAGTGTGTTGTCAAACTGGAAAAGATTGCTTTGAAGCCCATCTCACTGTCCACTAATCAGCATCTTGTCTTCCTGATTGAAAAGATGAAGGAGACAGGAAACACAGAGAAGGTTCAGAAACTGGAGGAGATGAAGAAGAGAGCTGAGGAACACAAAGGAGCTTTGAGACCTAGATTGAAGTAGGGCTGCACGATATATCGTTTCAGCATCGACATAGTCACATCGCAGAACGTGCGATTTAGTAAGGTAAACATATATCAGTCTACAATATATATATATTTTTAAAATGTTAAACTAGCATTATATCTGTCTGATATAACGTAATTTACTCCGATGTATGGGTTATTGGATACACAGTTTATTATTATAATTTTAAACACGTTGCTGCACGTGGTTGACATGCAGGCTCTGCTTGCGCGTGACGAAATGATGAGCGAGGAACAGGCAAAAAATACCGAAATTTAGAATTTGGTTGCAAAAAGAAATGCATCGTCAATTATATGGAAATGTTTTGGCTACAGACAGGATGATGTTGACCAAAAACAGGTACTTTGTCGAGAGTGCCTTGCAATTGTTGCCACAACACGAGGCGACACGACCAATTTGTTCGATCATTTAAGGTGGCACCACAAATCTTCGTATGATAAGCATCTCAATGCCCTCCAAAGCAAAAATCTATTTCGGATGCCTTTGCCAGTATTACACCATATGAGAAAGGTTCCAAACGGCAGAGAGAAATCACAGATTCAATAACATTTCACGTCGCCAAAGACATGGTACCAATTAACACGGTTACCAAAGAGGGTTTTAAAAATATGATCCGGTCGCTTGACAAGCGGTATGTAATGCCATCACGCAACTATTTTTCTCAAGTTGCAACAGAGCTGTCACAAGTAGAATATTATACAGCAACAACGGACTTGTGGTCCAGCCGGACAAAGGACAACGGAGCCCTACATAAGTCTGACCGTCCACTTTATTAATGAGGACTTCCACCTGAAAAGTCGCTGTTTGCAAATTGCATTTTTCCCAGAGGATCAGAGGATGATCAGAGGATCATACAAGTGAGAACATCGCAACAGGGATGCAACACCCCAATCATTCTAGAATAATTAATTATTCTCAAATAGAGCTTTTCAAGTCATCTGGTGAAGACATCCTGTATTTTTTCATATCGCAATATATAATCGCAGAAAAACAAAATATTGCAATGTCAGTTATTTCCAATATCGTGCAACCCTAGATTGAAGTTGGGAGGTAAATGATTGAATTATTTGAAGGATAAGCTGCCAGACATTTAATACATTGAAAGTAACACTTGATTGTATTGTTTCTGAATTGTGGCATAGTTATCGTAGTTATATTTCCTCAGAGTGATCTCAGAAATAATAACACACTTATGTCGATAACATACATGTAGCCTGTCTATCATCTTCTTGGTATTTGTATTTTAAACGAGGTGAAATATGTTTTTGCCACTTGAACGTCATTGTATCTGAATGTATAACAATTTCACATGTTCATCTAAATTTATGGGGGGAAAAACAAAAATCTATTGTAATACATGATTTAGGGAAGGAAGGTGAACCCTGGAACATTAGTGTATGAAATACATTAATTAAATCAACATAACCGCATATGAGTTCTGACTCTTTTTATATTGTTAATTTCTACGTTTTGCAATGACCATCATTTGATCCCTTGTTTCTAAAGAGTGACGCACCAAATCATGCTAATGTGACTGATTATTTACATCAACACTGAAAATAACAACACTAAAATACAATAGTTGGAGCTTTTAGTATCATGTGAGTATTGAGACTGCTGAGACACCTAGTGGAATGTATTGGATGTTCACTATACTAGACAGTATCACATTAATGTAATGTGGACAACTAAGGACGTTATATATTCAGCAAGATGATTCTGGAGCTCAACATCGTCGTCTCTGAAATCCTGCCATCTCTGAGAGGGATAGAGGGGTAATGTATCTCCTATTGTGCAGTACACCGTGTGTCTAGTTTGTTGAGATTATTCCCAAATGCTTCTGTTTTTAGCTGTTATTGACTGTCATACTTCTGTAGCTCCTCCACACAATCACCTGGATGTGACAGAAGTTACTGAAATGGATAGATCACTTTTATAGTTATATTTGTAATTATAAACTGGGTGGTTCGAGCCCTGAATGCTGACTGGCTGAAAGCCGTGGTATACCACGGGTATGACAAAACATTTATTTTTACTGTTCTAATTACGTTGGTAACCAGTTTATAATAGTAATAAGGCACCTCGGGGGTTTGTGGTATATGGCCAATATACCACGCCTAAGGGCTGTATCCAGGCACTCCGCGTTGCGTCACAGTTAAGAACAGCCCTTAGCCGGGGTATATTGTCCATATACCACACCCCCTCGTGCCTTATTGCTTAAATATGCCTTCTCATCTTGTTAATAATTCGACATACAGTATATATTAGAACAAATATTAACGAAACATAAGTATATACTCAGATGATTGATTGGTTGGTTGGTGGGTTGGTTGGTTGGTTCATTGTTAATTGATTGATTGTGTGCTTTGATGAGTTTTACCTATCTTTTTATTGCTATTGTATGGTCGGAGTCAGCGTTGGGGTCAATTCTAATTGAAAATTCAAGAAGTTAACAAAAATTCAAATTCAGTAATAAAAAAAAAGAGTATTTTTTCCCCCAATATCTTCTCAATAAGCAGAAAAGGAGAAGATATTTATGTGAAAAGTTTTACTATTTTAGGATTTTAAATTAATATCACTTCCTGAATTGACTGTCAACAAATTCGAATTGACCCCTGATCTTGGTCAATAACACTACATGACCAAAAGTATGTGGACACCTGCTTGTCGAACATCCCATTCCAAAATTAATATGGAGTTGGTCCCCCTTTACTGCTATAACACCCTCCACTCTTCTGGGCTTTCCACTAGATGTTGGAACATTGCTGCGGGGACTTGCTTCCATTCGGCCACAAGAGCATTAGTGAGGTCGGACACTGATGTTGGACAGTCGGCATTCCAATTCATCCCAAAAGTGTTCGATGGGATTGAGGTCAGGGCTCTGTGTAGGCCAGTCAAGTTTTTCCAAGCCGAGGACAGACAATTTTTACACGCTACGCGCTTCAGCACTCAGCGTTCCCATTCTGTGAGCTTGTGTGGCCTACCCTTCATGGCTGAGCCATTGTTGCTTCTAGACGTTTCCACTTCACAATAACAGCACTTACATTTGACCGGGGCAGGTCTAGCAGGGCAGAAATTTGACGAACTGACTTGTTGGAAAGGTGGCATCCTATGATAGGATGCCACGTTGAAAGTCACTGAGCTCTTCAGTAAGGCAATTCTACTGCCAATGTTTGTCTATGGAGATTGCATGGCTTTGTGCTCGATTTTATACAGCTGTCAGTAACGGGTGTGGCTGAAATATAATAAATATAATGTATCTCCTATTGTGCAGTACATTGTGCAAGTGGTTTCTGTATGGTGCTGTAGACTGTTGCTGTGCCCTGTGCTTCTGGCCTCTTTTCTGGAGCAGTGCTCAGTTTGTCCAACAGGTGGCGGTCTTCTACTGCTGGTTGCTACACATTGCTGTAGATAGCCTCTGTCTGGCCCTTTTCTGCTGCTGCTGCTGCTGCTGCTCCTACTGGTACTGTGGATCCTGGTTTCCCTGCAGTGTCGTAGATGAATGTTACCTCAGGACCCTCTGTGTTCTGTGGTTCCAGCCACTCCCCTGGTGGAGCACTTACTGGGTTGACCTGTTAGGAAATGAGATATTATACTGTAAAAACATTCAAATTATCATTGTTTCAAATGTTATAAAATCATAGCTCTAGATACAAGGTTTTTCCAGGATGCTGACAATGGATAAATGAGGAGTTACCTGCAGTGGCAGTTCTTCTTTACAGTACCTTTTTCTGGCTGATATGATGCATCCTACACCAACTAGCACAACAACGAAGAAGACTACACCATTCCCGCCCACAATGGTCCTAACTGGTGATGCTGCAGCTCTCCCCTTCTTCTCTTCAATACCTGAGCAGTCACACACACACACACACACACACACACACACACACACACACACACACACACACACACACACACACACACACACACACACACACACACACACACACACACACACACACACACACACACACACACACACACACACAAACACACAGTACACACATTTCTTATATTATATAAAGTACTATCCAAACCGTAGTAATACAATGATAGAGGTTTGCACAGAAGATGGAAGCTAGAAAATTAGACTTACATATGTTCTCCATGCGAAGTGAGTTGGTCTCTGCACTGACGTGATTTCTGCCGGTGCACTGGATGGTTCCGTTGTGATTGGAGATGATGATGTTGACTCTGGTGTGTGACAGAGACTGCTGTGACAGTGTGCACTGACCTCCATCACAGACAGACAACACCCACACACCTGTAACTGAACAGTTAACTGTGACATCACAGAGTCCAGCAGTAGAGTTGGAGTAGAGACACCATCTCCATGACTGGTCTGGAAACAGCTTTTACAAGAACCAGTATAGTTTAGAAAGAGAACTTTGCATGACTCTAGACATTATGAGATATTACATGTAAGCAGAAACATGCAGTCAATTATACCAGAAATTAAACTGTACAAAACTCACCCTGCACTGTTAGTCGGTATGTAACAGTTGACTCTTTCCAATCTCTCCGACTGGTTGCACTTGCAGTATACATTTCACTGTCTGTATCCATCAGATTATTAAGTCACAGAGAATGGTTCCTAGGGTTATAATCCACCTTCACCTTGTATATAGTAGAAATCTATTTTTCCTCAACTTTTGAATAGCTGTGATGGAAAATTGTATCATGTGAAGAGACAGCCTTGAAAATGTTCATCTTGTCTTTCGTGTCATTAATAATCCTTGGTTCCTGCCTGTGCTTGGTAAAGATATGAGGGGGGGGGGGGGGGGGGGGGCATGACCCCCTCCTTACGACCATCTGGCAGAATGTCCAGAATATGTTCTATAAGACACATGCCGGAACCAACCCTATGAACTATACCTATGTAACATGTATCTAAGCAGTATATAAGAGATCTAACGGGACTGCCCAGAGAGAGCTCACTTCAGACTGGTACTTTATGCATTGAGGTCTATATATATATATATATATATATATATATATATATATATATATATATATAACACACATATCACACACTCTAAAAAGAATGGGCAAAAAATAACCCAATTTGGGTTATTTGATAATGTTGTGTTATTTTGACCCAACCAGCTGGGTTGTGTAAATAACACAACATGCTGGGTTGTTGTGATTACCGAAAAATGGGTTAATTTAACCATCAGTTGGGTATTTCTTATTCTCATGCTGGGTTGACCTAGCAGCTGGGTCTTTTTTAATGTAATCCTTAGGATATTTCCAGGAGGCGTGGCTTATTGGGGTGTGGTTTTCACCTTGATCTTATTGGTCAATCATGAGCGTAGGCCTAAATACCTTTCCGTTCATCTTGTTAAAGGTGAAGTTTTATTTTTTACAACCAAATTGCTGTTTTTATGTAAACGGCATGTTAAAGAAGGGTCCAGACACTTTTTTTATGATTAGACTTACCCAAGCCACACTTCACTTCCTCATTGCTTGATGTGCAGTATCAGGACACGCAAAAGACATGAACAAAAGCTGTAAAAACAGTATAGTGATGTAGGTCTTTAAATGTTGTACACATGAAATTGTGTAATTCCAAACTTTATCACCATACTGAGAGCTTTGCCGTTTCTAAAAGGACATATTTGGGTGCTTTTGGAGCCATTGCGCATGTTTTTTCGGGACCCCCATAGTACACAATGAGGATGAGGAACTGATTTGCTGTTTGGCGTAAGCACAGAGATATTTCACAGTATAAACGTGAAGCATCCGCCTGGTGTTTCCACTCACTACCAAATATGCGGGGGAAAAAACGTGAAATCACACAAAAAAGTGTCTGGACCCTTCTATAACATGCCATTTTAATCATAAACAGAGATTTGGTTTTAAAAAGATAACTTCTCCTTTAAGCTTACATACTAAAAATGAAATGTTTCCTCATTTTATTGTTTTACACATTCTTCTATAATATGGAGATTATTTACAACATATTATAATACAGTCTGCCACCTTATTGTATCTCTTTGCAACTCTGCCTAGAAGGTCAGCATCCCGGAGTCGCCTCTTCACTGTTGACGTTGAGACTGGTGTTTTGCAGGTACTATTTAATGAAGCTGCCAGTTGAGGACCTGTGAGGCGTCTGTTTCTCAAACTAGACACTAATGTATTTGTCCTCTTCCTCAGTTGTGCACCGGGGCCTCCCACTCCTCTTTCTATTCTGGTTAGAGCCAGTTTGCGCTGTTCTGTGAAGGGAGTAGTACACAGCGTTGTACAAGATCTTCAGTTTCTTGGCAATTTCTCGCATGGAATAGCCTTCATTTCTCAGAACAAGAATAGACTGACAAGTTTCAGAAGAATGTTGTTTCTGGCCATTTTGATGCTGTAATCGAACCCACAATTGCTGATGCTCCAGATACTCAACTAGTCAGTTTTATTGCTTCTTTAATCAGCACAACAGTTTTCAGCTGTGCTAACATAATTGCAAAAGGGTTTTCTAATGATCAATTAGCCTTTTAAAATGATAAACTTGGATTAGTAAACACAACGTGCCATTGAAACACAGGACTGATGGTTGCTGATAACAGGCCTCTGTATGCCTATGTAGATATTCCATTACAAATCAGCCGTTTCCAGCTACAATAGCCATTTACAACTGTATTTCTGATCAATTTGATGTTATTTTACAGTTGAAGTCGGAAGTTTACATACACTTAGGTTGGAGCTATTAAAACTTGTTTTTCAACCACTCCACACATTTCTTGATAACAAACTATAGTTTTGGCAAGTCAGTTAGGACATCTACTTTGTGCATGACACAAGTAATTTTTCCAACAATTCTTTACAGACAGATTAATTCACTGTATCACAATTTCAGTGGGTCAGAAGTTTACATATACTAAGTTGACTGTGCCTTTTAACAGCTTGGAAAATTCCAGAAAATTATGTCATGGCTTTAGAAGCTTCTGATAGGCAAATTGACATCATTTGAGTCAATTGGAGGTGTACCTGTAGATGTATTTCAAGGCCTACCTTCAAACTCAGTGCCTCTTTGCTTGACATCATGGGAAAATCAAAAGAAATCAGGCAAGACCTCAGAAAAAAAATGGTAGACCTCCACAAGTCTGGTTCATCCTTGAGAGCAAATTCCAAATGCCTGAAGGCACCATGTTCATCTGTACAAACAATAGTACGGATGTATAAACACCATGGGACCACGCAGCTGTCATTCCGCTCAGGAAGGAGACGCGTTCTGTCTCCTAGAGATGAACGTACTTTGGTGCGAAAAGTGTAAATCAATCCCAGAACAACAGCAAATGACCTTGTGAAGATGCTGGAGGAAACAGGTACAAAAGTATCTATATCCACAGTAAAACAAGGCCTATATCGACAAAACCTGAAAGGCCGCTCAGCAAGGAAGAAGCCACTGCTCCAAAACCGCCATAAAAAAGCCAGACTACGGTTTGCAACTGCACATGGGGACAAAGATCATTATTTTTGGAGAAATGTCTGATGAAACAAACATAGAACTGTTTGGCCATTATGACCATTGTTACGTTTGGAGGAAAAAGGGGGGACTTGCAAGCCGAAGAACACCATCCCAACCGTGAAGCACGGGGGTGGCAGCATCATGCTGTGGGGGTGCTCTGTGCAGGAGGGTCTGGTGCACTTCACAAAATAGATGGCATCATGAGGAAGGAAAATTATGTGGATATATTGAAGCAACATCTCAAGACATCAGGTCAGGAAGTTAAAGCTTGGTCGAAAATGGGTCTTCCAAATGGACAATGACCCCGAGCATACAGTGAGGGAAAAAAGTAGTTGATCCCCTGCTGATTTTGTACGTTTGCCCACTACCAAAGACATGATCAGTCCATAATTTTAATGGTAGGTTTATTTGAACAGTGAGAGACAGAATAACAACAAAATAATCCAGAAAAACGCAAGTCAAAAATGTTATTAATTGATTTGCATTTTAATGAGGGAAATAAGTATTTGACCCCTCTGCAAAACATGACTTAGTACTTGGTGGCAAAACCCTTGTTGGCAATCACAGAGGTCAGACGTTTCTTGTAGTTGGCCACCAGGTTTGCATACATCTCAGGAGGGATTTTGTCCCACTCCTCTTTGCGGATCTTCTCCAAGTCATTAAGGTTTCGAGGCTGACGTTTGGCAACTCAAACCTTCAGCTCCCTCCACAGATTTTCTATGGGATTAAGGTCTGGATACTGGCTAGGCCACGCCAGGACCTTAATGTGCTTCTTCTTGAGCCACTCCTTTGTTGCCTTGGCCGTGTGTTTTGGGTCATTGTCATGCTGGAATACCCATCCACGACCCATTTTCAATGCCCTGGCTGAGGGAAGGAGGTTCTCACCCAAGATTTGACGATACATGGCCCCATCCATTGTCCCTTTGATGCGGTGAAGTTGTCCTGTCCCCTTAGCAGAAAAACACCCCCAAAGCATAATGTTTCCACCTCCATGTTTGACGGTGGGGATGGTGTTCTTGGGGTCATAGGCAGCATTCCTTCTCCTCCAAACATGGCGAGTTGAGTTGATGCCAAAGAGCTCGATTTTGGTCTCATCTGACCACAACACTTTCACCCAGTTCTCCTCTGAATCATTCAGATGTTAATTGGCAAACTTCAGACGGCCCTGTATATGTGCTTTCTTGAGCAGGGGGACCTTGCGGGCGCTGCAGGATTTCAGGCCTTCACGGCGTAGTGTGTTACCAATTGTTTTCTTGGTGACTATGGTCCCAGCTGCCTTGAGATCATTGACAAGATCCTCCTGTGTAGTTCTGGGCTGATTCCTCACCGTTCTCATGATCATTGCAACTCCACGAGGTGAGATCTTGCATGGAGCCCCAGGCCGAGGGAGATTGACAGTTATTTTGTGTTTCTTCCATTTGCGAATAATCGCACCAGCTGTTGTCACCTTCTCACCAAGCTGCTTGGCGATGGTCTTGTAGCACATTCCAGCCTTGTGTAGGTCTACAATCTTCTCCCTGAAATCCTTGGAGAGCTCTTTGGTCTTGGCCATGGTGGAGAGTTTGGAATCTGATTGATTGATTGCTTCTGTGGACAGGTGTCTTTCATACAGGTAACAAACTGAGATTAGGAGCACTCCCTTTAAGAGTGTGCTCCTAATCTCAGGTCGTTACCTGTATAAAAGACACCTGGGAGCCATAAATCTTTCTGATTGAGAGGGGGTGAAATACTTATTTCCCTCATTAAAATGCAAATAAATTTCTAACATTGTTGACATGCGTTTTTCTGGATTTTTGTTGTTGTTATTCTGTCTCACACTGTTCAAATAAACCTACCATTAACATTATAGACTGATAATTTCTTTGTCAGTGGGCAAACGTACAAAATCAGCAGGGGATCAAATACTTTTTCCCTCACTGTACTTCCAAAGTTGTGGCAAAATGGCTTAAGGACAACAAAGTCAAGGTATTGGCGTGGCCATCACAAAGCCCTGACATCAATCCTATAGAACATTTGTGGGCAGAACTGAAAAAGCGTGTGAGAACATGGAGGCCTACAAACCTGACTCAGTTACACCAGCTCTGTCAGGAGGAATGGGCCAAAATTC